ACTAAAGTTTGTCTTTATTGAGATAACACAAAGTGGAGAAACATGTTCCTTCATCTCATCTCATGTTGGGAGTCTTTACAGAACGATAGTCAGAGGGAGACAGACAGTTAGACAGACAGAGACAGGTAGATAGATAGATAGACAGTGAGACAAAAAGACAGACAGACATACATACACTAAGAGACAGACAGAGAGATAGATAGACAAACAGACGGAAGAAAATTTAAATGCAGAGAGAGAGAGAGAGAGAGAGAGAGAGAGAGAGAGAGAGAGAGAGAGAGAGACAGAACGAATAACAATAATGAAACTTAACAAAATAGTAGACAGGGAAAGACAAACATGATGAGACACATAATAAACATGACAGGCAATCACACCAACGCCACAATAACACCACCAGAATCACAACACCAACGCCACAATAGCAACACCAACACCACAATAGCAACACCACAATAGCAACACCACCACAATAACACCACCAGAATCACAACACCAACGCCACAATCACAACACCAGCGCCACAATAACACACCAGCGCCACAATATACACACCAACACTAGCGCCACAATAACACCACCACCACCACCACCGCATCACCAACACCACAAACACAACACCACCATCCCAAAGTGTAGACAAGACAGAGGCTACAACAACATAAAGCGTGGCATGGGGATCACACTAAAACCATCACTTGCACCACTATAGCGGCCTCGAAGTACCTGCATTATTCATCTTTTCAGGATCATTCTTCGTCATCATCATTATCATCATCATCACATCATTATCATCATCATCATTATCATCATCATTTTATTTTTTCATCTTTCCAGTTCTTATATACGGCATTGTGTTTTTTTTTTATTCTTCGTTTCCAATAGTTTGCATTGTTTATAAAAATCACTCCCCTCCTCCTCCTCCTCCTCCTCCTCTCCTCTCCTCCCCTCCTGCTCTCTCTCTCCTGCTCCTCTCCTCCTCCTCCTCCTCCTCCTCCTCTGTAAACAATGTGATCGATTCATGACCTGATTTTTTTCTACCCCTAGACCTCCCAAGACCCAGATTTTTAACTCATGAACCTTCCATAACCCAGATTTTTTAACAGATTTTTATAACCCACACAAGCCCACCAACAATATTTTAATTCAGTATAAATTCTCACTAGATGATTAATAATGTTTATATAAGCAACCCAACCTCACCCCACCCCCAAATAAAAATATCCTCCCCTACCTCCTCTCTCCTTCCACTATCCACCCTCCCTCAGTTTAGAGTCAGTAGTTGAGATTGAAGAGGGACGACTGGTTCTAAACACAGGACCAGACTAAAAATAATAAATTCAACCTAACCACCACTTCCACCCACCCCCCTCCATCTTCCGAGAATAAGAATGATTGTCAAGATGTATCACGTTCTGTTAATTACTGTTCTGAATGGTGATTTAACATTCAGTAAAACCAATTAATAAATATATTAATAAAGAAAAAAATATGTAAATGATATTTTTTATTCTATTCAATAAAAATCATCCACAAACTGTTCAATAAAGGGAAGAGAAGGATTTTACTTTACTCAATATCGTTCTCTGTGCAACACCCAATCAACAATGTTTTATTCAACGTTCAATAAAACTCGTCAATAAAGGTGTGTTACGTGTGACGGTGTGCAGGTACGCGAGCTTACTTTACCTGTCCCTCACCTGCCTCATTAATATTCACTCATAACTATCTATCTATATCAATCAGAGTCACTTTGATGCCCCGGTATCGTCTCCTTCCCGTCAATTATTCAAACTGTCTATAACGGGAGACAGTGTTGCCAAGATGGGGTGACGACCTTGCCTCCACAATAGCATCATGTGAGTGGTATGGCGTTCATGTTGATTTTATCGCTGTTTCTACTATTCAGATGTGTTGATAATGACAGTATTTTATATTAATTTTATTGTTAGTTTAAGTAGTTTATTTTATAGAGACATAAATATCGAATTTATTAATAGATTTCTTCGATTTGACTGTTGAAGACATGCGGGTCTGAGAGAGATGGAACATTTTAGAGGTTTTTGTGGTAACACTGTTGAAGAGGGAAGTGTTGGGAGGAGTCGGTAAGTACTAATGTTCTCTCTCTCTCTCTCTCTCTCTCTCTCTCTCTCTCCCTCTCCCTCTCTCTGACTGTAACATTACTTCCCTCTCCACACTTACTACTGAGAAACAAACAGACAGACAGACAATAATAACAATAATAATCCCAAAAGGCGGCAGGTACTCATCTGGGATCATCAGGTGTGTGTGGGGAGGGGAGATACAGGTGGTAGGAGGGTGGGGGAAGACAGACAGGTAAGACCCTCATCACTTTGCCTCACCTCAATTGATCAGTATTACACAACCTTTTAAAGTGAGGAGAGAGAGAGAGAGAGAGAGAGAGAGAGAGAGAGAGAGAGAGAGAGAAAAATTGCTGTATGGAGATAACTGTGAGAGATTATTTCTATTGATTGAGGGTATGGGAGGGGGAGGTGAGGAGGAAGAGGAGGAAGAGACGGAGAGGAGAAGGAGGAGGAGGAGGAGGAGGAGGATAAGAAGAAGAAGAGGAGGAGGAGTTAGTGGGTAACAGACTGACTCATCCTAACACACACAAACACACATTAGGTGTTTTAAGATGAATACAACTGATCTGTTTTTTCTATTATACAAACTTTAACACCATTGAGAGTCTTATTAAAGCCTTGTATAACCCATTTAACTACTAATTCAAACGGTTTAATTCCCTAATGAGGTGTTTCACATAAAATATCAACAACTCTATGTGGAAGAGATTGAATTACAGTGATCATTTCTATATCGAAGTCATGTTACGGCGACCAGATGATGGGATTACAAATTTGGTGTTTGTCATTCGTGTTTTGAAGCCCGAGACGGTGTTCGGTTGACAGATAAGCCACCTAAGGAGTGATATCTCTTCCTCCATAGACACTAACTGCTGTGGGGAGTTAAATCGCCTTGTCTCATAGTGTTTCTTTAGTTTTACTTCACTGAGTTAACAAAAACAAAACATAAATTCCGGGCCATTCTTAATTATTTTGTTGTTGTTGACTAAAACGATGCTATATATTATTTTATTACATATAGTTTTATCATGTCTATTAATTTGTGTTAATATAGAGACATTTATTTATATTATTTGTATTTATTATTTAGTCATGATTGGATAAACGTGCTGTAGAGATTGTTCTTATGTTAGTGGGTGACGAAAGGGCCTTGTGTTGAGTATGTATAAAGAATGACTTGGTACAGTATTAATAATGATTCTGTTTCCAATTGATGACGGTCATTATCATTATCAGTAGTAGTAGTATCATAATTTATATCACCGTTATCATTATTATTATTATTATTATTATTATTATTATTATTATTATTATTATTATTATAATTTTAAACAATATGTCACTAAATAGGTTTTCACACAAATCCTTGCTCCATATTGGCCAATCCTATTATGTAAATTAATAACTCATCATTAACCGAATATTACAATTAGTCCTCAAAAAAAATTGGCGTTAATATAGAAAAAAGAAAAGGTTCAAACACCACCTCACTCACCTCACTTCAATTTATCGTAAAAAAAAACTAATTTATTGACTGAGTACGATGCAATAATAATCCCTTGAGTACGATGACGTTATACTTAAAGGGTTTAGTCGTGGTAATCATGGTATTAAATCATCGTACTCAAGGGGTTAAATCATCTTATTCAAGGGGTTAAATCATCGTACTCAAAGGGTTAAATCATAGTACTCAAAGGGAATTAAATCATCGTATTCAAAGGGGTTAAATCATCGTACTCAAAGGGAATTAAATCATCGTACTCAAAGGGATTAAATCATCGTACTCAAAGGGTTAAATCATCGTACTCAAAGGGTTAAATCATCGTACTCAAAGGGAATTAAATCATCGTACTCAAAGGGATTAAATCATCGTACTCAAAGGGAATTAAATCATCGTACTCAAAGGGATTAAATCATCATACTCAAAGGATTAAATCATCATACTCAAGGGATTAAATCATCGTACTCAAAGGGAAAAATCGTACTCTCAAGGGATTAAATCATCATACTCAAGGGGTTAAATCATCGTACTCAAGGGATTAAATTATCGTACTCAAAGGGATGAAATCCTCATACTCAAAGGATTAAATCATCGTACTCAAGGGGTTAAATCATCGTACTCAAGGGGTTACAATAACAAAACTCTTAACAAATTAGCGGCTCCCGTTTTCTTCACTAAGGCTTTATTCGTCTTAGCTTACGTAATAAAGATTAATTAACACAAGCTGACATTTAACATAAAAAAAAAAAACCTTCTTGGAAATTCGGAAAAGCGTGGGACAACGACTGCCTCTCCTCGATGACTAAACAAACATAACAAACACACACACACACACACACACAATCATACTCAGTTGGTATTTAACCTTATTTAATAATTGGTAGACTTAGTAAACTCACTTAAATATTATCGTGTTAGTTTGGTCATAACACGTGGAGAGATTACAAACACGCACACAGTCAGACCAACATACCATTACTGTTATTATACACACAACCCACGAAGCCTACCGTCATACACACAGCTAACATGTATACAGTCTCAAAAAAAAAATAACTCTCTCCATCTTTGATCGATGAATATTTTAAACCTGGCGAATTATAATGGAAGGGAAACCATGACTTCATCTGGTCAGTTGGTACGCCTGACTAGATACACACTTCGAGTTATTTAATGAATAACGGTTCGAAATCGTGGACGTGATAATCATAGTTGTGGAAAACAGATACATATATACACCCAATAGTGAATAATTATCAGTAAGAAGTAAGTAATTATGATTAGTGGTGTAATTGGCTCCCCGTCTCTAAGGTTCCACAGGCCTACCAACTGTTTACGAGGTGGTGCACGAGAGGCTACGAACACAATAGTCAACATAAGGCCAAGTAACTCACCTCTCTTTCTTTTGACTGTATAAGGTCCTCAATAGGCGTGTTCCTGCCAGTTCTGTCGGCTCTATCGGACATCTCAGAGGAGTCCACTAAATCGGTGCCCATCTCGATGGAGGAGGTGGTAGTGGTGGTGCTGGAGGAATTGGAGGAGGAGGTGGTGGTGGTTGTGGTGGTGGCGCTGCTGCTGTTGTTGTTGTTGTTGGAGTTGCTGTTGATGTTGTTGTTGTTATTGTTATTGTTGTTGTTGCTCTCCTTGAATGTCTTCTGGCACTTGACTGTCTCGAGTTGTTCCTTGAGGGTGTGAACCTCGTTCTCGGCTAGCGTGGCTCTCTGTTGGTGAAAGAAGAGAGTTTTAGCTACTACTCGCGTCATATATTATACTAACACCTTCACTCGATTATCTATATACTGTATATGGATGATCCAAGTAGCTCATCTTTACCTTCAACCTCCATAAGATAAACGGCATCAAGACAAAAGTCAACCTTATGTATAAAATATATTCATTGGATAATTACTGAGGACAAAGCCATCGCCGATTTTCATAGAAAATGAATTTAAAAATAGTGCAATTTCACTTTGTTTTATGATGGACACTACCCTAGTTTGGACTAATGTGTTACAATGGGTTTATTTCTACTTAAAACCTAACAGAAGCGTTGTCAGACGACCTGACCAACTTAACCAAAGAAACCTACCTAACCTTACCTAACTGCCTAGCCATTGAGCTCCGCCACCCGGCATATTAAACAGAAAGAACTTATCGGTACTTTAATATGATATAATTTAAAAACAAAAATTTGGACGTGAAGGAAGAAGCTCTGATCGGGCGGCTCGTGAACAAGCACTGGGCGGAGGACAACTTTATCGCTGCGAAAGACGAAGTAGTGCCGCTAGTGTGAACATAGAGGCCTAATTATATACCAAACGAAGCATTTACCCAAGAAATGAATAACATATCCGAAATGAGCGATGAAAGTATAGTAAGAAAAGATCCACTAAAACAAACCTCACCTGTGACAAGTTAGTTTTAATAATCAAACACAATTTAAAAGGCATTAAAGGTTGGTTCCCGCAGGTGAATTATCAATCAGTGCACCGATACACACCTCCACTGAACAAATCAATTCCCTACAGTTGACTCCTGTGAGAAATACAGCCTAGTGTTATTATTTCACTAACTAATACTGTAATATACTAAACGTTGATAATACCTTAAGTTTTTTACAACATGGGGATCACTGTAGTTTAACTCTTACCACCATGCTCGTCTGTCTGTCCGTCTGTTTACTTTTGGTACGCGCATATCACTACGCTTGGGACTACAATAGAAATTTTAGCTACTGGCCTCTATCGTCTTTCACTCGTAAATACATTAATTATATCTGTATTTTATTTTATTCAAACGATTGTATTTAAATATCCTTTTACTTGTTAAATTTAATATATATTTGTGTTAGTTTTAGTAAGAATTTGTTAGTTATGATGTTAAATTTTCTCTCGTTAATATTTCAAGTTTAAATACAATCACTCTGTAAACTTTCTTCATCACTTATAGTTTATGTAAATTAATGAATCACTCATTTTTGTATGACATCTATGTATATTACACAATCTAAAATACATACTAACAATATAAATCTATACTGTAATTTAAACACATACATAATAATGAATAAACACAACAGACAAACATACGGTATTGATCAACGTATGTAAAGAGATCAGTAGAGATATCAAGAGATAACGTAATCTTCTATTTAAATAAGTATAACAATGTTTCTTAGAAGTCTTATGATAACATGTGAGATATTCTGTGTGATATAAAGGCTAAGGTTTTTGTCATCGATCGTTACTGTACGCTGGATACTGTGTTTAATAATAATAATAATAATAATAATAATAATAATAATAATAATATTCAACGTTGTCATCATCATCATCGTCATCGTCATCAAAAAAAAATCACCAATGAAAATAAAAATTACAGAAAAAAAAATGTATTTATACCAGACAAAAACATTCCTAGCACGAAATCTTACATTATAATATACCTGTAAACGTTATGAGTCTGTCAGGTAAAATCACCGGAGAACGTCAGGTGTGTGTGTGTGTGTGTGTGTGGGAGGATCTGTTTCAGGTCTGTCTACATCTCTTGTTGACAGATTGCGTGTTGAGACTGACCACAATAGCTCACCAGTCTAGCGGTCAACACTACACCACATCTTCATCGAATCTTTGTGTCTGTGTGTCTGTTGTTCACATGATCTTAGAGAGGAGAGAAACAAAAAAGAAGAAAAAAAAAGGCTAGTTCTGTCCGACACGTATCTCTGAGAGGTGTGTGTGACATGAGCGGTGTGTGTAGTGACGAGGGTCGAGTGTTATCATGTCTTCTCTCGTCTCCACACTGTTAGTCGCTCCCGCACAGCCGCTGTTATTTGGTTCATGTCACTCACCAGCACAAAGACCATCGGGAGATTTGTGTGAGAGAGAGAGAGACAGAGAAAGGGGGAGATATTTAGTATGGCCAGGAAAGGTTTATTCTAGCAATTGCTTAGTAATGATGGTTTGCCAATCTGTGGCCAACGACACTTGATGGGTCTGTGTCGAGGTTTCATTCATTGTCTCGTTAGTGTTCAGAGTGAGTTGTGTCGTAGAGTTTCACTTCTTGTTTGTTGTCGAGGAGAGTTGAAGTAAACGTAGGTCCTGGGGCTTGTTACTGTTAGCGAGAAGCATCAATGAGGCAAGAGATACAAAAGTGTTGAGTTATCAGTGTTCAGAAGCAACAGTTGGAGGTGGAAATCCCCGTTATGACGGCGGGGGCAGCTGCGCCACCTTTCACGACGCCGTCAAAATATCTCGGGAATTCCAAGCCTAAGACGGGATGCCGCCAGATTACACAACAAACACCACCACATCGTATTGAAAATATCAATTATCTTATTTACTGTTTCCATGGTACTCTGAATTCAAGATGGCGCGACCACTTATCATGATCTGTTGAGTCTCTCACGTCACTCACTCCATCCACCAATATGCCCAGCCAACTAAAACCTGGCAACTTGGACGGAAAAGTTGAACATTTAGCAGAGTTGTCCCTCACGCTGTGGCGGTCCCTGTTATCGCCTCATCTAATGACATCCTTTGGCGTCTCTAACTCTTTGACCTACTGTCACTCAGCGCACAAATAACCAAGCCAGATATTATACTATCGCCGTCACATTATTTTCTACAACTCTACCACATTTACCTCACCGTATGATTACATAATTATAGGAGATCCTGCACCACAGTCCCCCGCCCCTCCCTGGTGATCAATGACCTACAGACCATGTTTGGGGTCAATCCTCGCCCTCTCCACCGTGGAGTCTTGTGTGGGACCAAAAGAGGCGTCAGAGTCCACTGGCTCCCATACGATTGTTCAGGAGGTGGAATCCAGCCTCCGGAAAATACAGAATACAAGACGCACAATACATTTAGCAGCCGTGAATCGCGTGGTGCTGCCATCTGTCAGTTTGGCCAGGCTGGTCACTTTGTTCTCCTGCTACGCTTCCCATTTTTTGTTTTGTCTTTGATTAGTCCAGCTCCCATTTTCCACATTTCTTTCAGTGAGGTGAGGAGCTAGAGTGTTGAGGGCGGCCACAGTTTGCTGAGCCGTTACTGACTAACGTTTTTGGTTCCGTCTCGTCCGCTTATAAGACTCAACAAGAATTGACGAGGTCGATTTTGCGCCTCTATACCGCGTGTGTGTTAGTTGGTCGAGGCTTCCAGTCCACAGCGACTTGCCTCTAGAAGTTCTGTCTTGTCTTGGCTTGAGCTTCCCTGAATGGAGTGAAGCTCATAAAGAAAAAAAATAGTCAAATGAGTAACTAATAATATAAACATTCACATTTTCATTCCTCTCAATAGACTGGAAAAAAAAAAACTGATTATTGCTTATTATCATCGCTATCTTTTTTTTTTCTCTCTCTCTTTTTCAAAATTTCCTCGACTTCCTCTTCCTTCTTCTCAGACTCCGTCACGCACAAGTCTTCTCTTCCAATCACGGCACGGAAGATCTGCATGACGTCACACACTTAACTGGGATAAAACGATTGGATGCATTTTGGTGAGCAGCCAAGTGTGGTCTACCTTGTTCTCTCTTCCTATCTCTTACACAGTCTCCTCAACATACACCTCTCTCTCTCTCTCTCTCTCTCTCTCTCTCTCTCTCTCTCTTCCTTTTCTCTTCTGTTCTTTCTATTTCTCTGTCCCTCATCCCAATTCCAAACCACTCCTCCCCCTCTGTCCCCTACCTTTCCTATCCTTCTACCTCGTCCCCTCCCCACCCCTCTCCTATCCTCTCACCTTCCATATCCTCTCTCCCTCTCTCATCTCTTCCTCTCCGCTTCTCGTTCCTCTCATCCCCCTTCCTCCTTCCCCACCTGAGCTCTTCATCACGGGCTGACGTGACAAGGCAACAGCCACAGCCCTGATTCTTGCCCTAACCTGACTGACAGCAACAGCGGCTAGCCAACAGGTTGCTGAGGGGGGTGAAGGAGGAGGAGGAGGAGGAGACAGGTGGGCGAAGGGGAAGAAGAGGATGAGGGTGAGGAAGGGGAAGAAGATGATGAGGGTGGGGAGAGGAGGAAAGAAGAAGAAGAACAAGAACAAGAAGGTGGGCGGGTTTGAGGAGGAACATCAATCAAAAATAACATTTCCTCATAACCATCACCTTAGGCTTGACCACCAACACCACCTCCTCCTCCTCTTCTTCTTCTTCTTTCTTCTTCTTCCTCCTCCTCTTCCTTGATATAATTTTATTCCAGGGTTCACCAAATCAATCAGTCATGTCCCAAGACGCCGTTTATGGTAATGTTGTTTAATGGAATTGTCAAATGTAGTGAATGTCTTGAGGGTTATGTGAGAGAGAGAGAGAGAGAGAGAGAGATTGAACGAGTGTGTGTGTGTGTGTGTGTGTGTGTGTGTGTGTGTGTGTGTTGAAAACCTACTTGTGGACCATCTCTTCCCTCACCCTCCTCATAACCTCACAGAAGATGACCTCTCCTGACCTCACTACATGAACCATCCCTTGAGAGAGAGACACACTGACCCCGCTTGACCTTTACGTGTATCTGGAGGAGCTACACCTATTGTTCTCCCCCCCTCCCCCCCCCTCCCTTTACACTCTAGTGGCCAGTGAGTCCCAGTTACACGTCAGGTCTGGGGTGGGATGGGAAAGGGAGGGGGTAAGGTGGGGGAAGGGGAAGGGGTAGGGATAGGGGAGGGGAAGGGAAGGGAAGGATGTGGTAAGAGGGATGATCGTGGTAGAGAGAACACTGATGGTAGAAGGAAGAGGAGTAGAAGGAGGGGTGGGTGAGTAAGACTAGATAAGGTAAAGGTCATTA